AATTCTGCACTTCTGTAGAGGTAAGAAAATGAACCTGTTGTTATTGTTGGTCCACATGCAATAGCTACACTAGTTAAACTATTTTACTCTATGTTTATACAAACATTATTAGCTTGTAAGCATTCTAAGGCTAATCAAGTCATTCATATAGTCCTCATAGTTCACATGGATGGAAAACATTAAAAAAAAAAAAAAAAAAAGACCACAGCAGTCTCTTTACTGCAGCTATAAAGGCAACAAACAGTTCAATGCACAGCACTAATAACTCCATGAAGTTTAAACTTGATTTTTCTGTTACGTGTCAAGAGATGAAGAAAAAGTCCTACAATTTCCAAGCTGTAAAATATTATCTGTGATCATTAAACACATACTAAATCCAGTAGTGTTAACTGTTTCAACTCCATAGAGTTTATGAAATATTCTCAAGTGTTTCCCGAATTATTCTGAAGGTAATTTATTTCTCAAGCCCAGCAGGGTAGGCCATTAGGAGATACTGAAAAGAAAGCTGAATTGGTTCAAAAACAAGTTTTGCTTTCTACAAAAATGCCAGACTACACAGACTTTTTTTTTCTTAAGTGGATACATGAAACAATTACTTACACTACTGACATACAGTTTGTTACAAATCCTTAAAGAGAACTGCAATATTCTCTATCAAAGCTTTCGGGTTTTACTTTTAAAGCAATTTAAGACCATTGGAATTTTATTTTTTATATGAATGACATTTTTCTGAACTGCAGATTATTACACATTTAATAACCCTGCACGCGCAGAAATAGATATTCAAGAAAAACGAGACCTCAACAATCCTGGTAACATTTCTATCATATAGCTGGGAAAGTGCATTGAAGGTGAGTACTAAGCTATAGCCAAAAGTAAGTGCTCAAATTAGTGAGACAAACCGTCCTCTGCATGTTTCATGACCTATAATTAGAACTGTCATCAAAAGCACTGTTTTTCCTATCGTGTTTTTAGCTCACTTGAGCTCCCCAGTCTTGCTCTACGACCAGCTATGAACACTTCTGTTTGCAAACACATCAAGGTCTTTTTAAGTACCCATGCAACTCTACTTACAGAGTTTCTCTCACAAATTTCAAGTTTGTCTCCAAACAAACAAAACACAGAAACAAAAACAAAACAAAAACCCACATCATACTAAGAAAGCCCTTCAGATCTGAGAAGAAACAATGGAGAAACAGAGCTAATAAGCTGCTGGACCAGACATCCCACATCAGTGGGGTAATCTTCCATTACCACGCTGAAAACTACTGATGGTAAATCAAAGCAGTTGCAGAAGACCTAAGCATTTGACATTCATAATAGTACTCAATCAGCTCTCAGTTTAAATTTTTCTAATTTTTATAAGAAAAATTACACATTTTTAAGAACACTTATTCTCGTATTTACAAATACATGTATCATGATGTATCTTAAGACTTTCATGGGTTGTTTTGCTTTATTTGCTTTCAAGACACCAGAAGTGCAAATATTTTAAGGGTAACCTTTCTATCAAGGAATATCTAAGATAAAAAGAAATGAGGCTTACTCCTGTTTCCTCTGGACTTAAACAGAGCATGAAAGAAACTGAATCTCTGAAAGTATTCTCCATAAACTTTGCTTTGAACTACAGTACTGTGTTAGCAAATGCATCCTATTCCACTTACGAGTTTCAGTGAAAAGCCAGCAGCAGCCCCCTGTATCAGCGTGTTCCAAGAGAGATCTTCATGAACTGTTACACTATCATTCATTTTTGCAATTAGCCACCTGACTGAAGACACTTCCTCCCCAGTGTTATATTTCTCACAGATGATTTAATTAAAACAAGCAGCCTTTTAAACTCTTCGGTTGTTAAGATGACAGAGCATCATCTTTCCTGATGCAGTGTGTACAGCTTCTGAATGAAGATCGTTTTTCATTGCTTCTCCAGCCTTCTTTAGTAACTGGTTCCAGTACACATGTGCTATCATAACAGAGGTAAGTATGACATAAATCACAATACTCTTATCTGATAATACTTAATGGTATTATCCAATAGTTGCCCTAGCTTTCTTGACAACACTGCTGTGCCATAAGCATAAATTATCCAGAGAATACCATATGCCTCTTTCAGAGTCACTGAACAGAAGGATAAAGGTTCCCAACAAAGATTTGCATGCTTCATTCCTAAAATAATAGCTTTATTTTTGGAACTGCCAAAAAAGACGTTTACTTGCAAGAAGAAATAACTAGACCATTACTTTCTCTAAAATTCAGTCAAGAATGGAGATGAGATTTAAATATTCTCTTTCTATGTACATGGTAGTATACCGTCCAGGTATTAGAGGTAGGTCACTGTTCCTACAGGGAGACCTGGAGAAACAAAGGAAAGAGCTCCAACTGAAAGTATTTTAAAAGGCAGTCTTGTCATAATTACATTAAGATATTACATTTAGCATACAAGTACACTGCGGTCCAAAATTAGCAACTGAAGAAGTAATAAAACATTTTGCCCAAGAAGTTCATTTTTCCTTGGCAGTAAAGCCAGTGTTATAAAATAAGCCACAGAGCATGTAGAAATTTATTGGTCTACTAGAAGATCACTCATGAGAAACACAGTTGATAAAAAGGACCCTTTTGTTTACAAAAAAAAAAAAAAAAAAAAAAGAACAGCAGCAAATCACTGGTCTCTCCAAGTCTACAGGCATGCTAGCAGCATGCTGCATCTTGTTTTTCAAGCATATCCTGGCATTTTCTAACTTCTTTCAGTGAATGGAAAATGAATAACAAGTACAATCTGAACAGAAATGATACTGTATAAATGCTTGCTATTTTTTCAGCCTTGAGAAAGTACTAACAGGAGCTTGACAATTAATGCATTGATAAGGTAATCAATATTTTCCCCCCCCTTTAGAGTCCTGCTTTGTGACATTACAGGATTGACTCTTCAGGCAGAGCATGTGCAAGAAATAGAAGTGAGGTTGAACTCAGTCATTGCATGAGGCTAAAAGCTGTAGAGTTAACTAACGAGTTAACCATGAAATAAGAGAACAAAAGCTTTAACTAAACACAATCACTAGAACAAGACTGCATTGTAATATCAAGGCAACTAAAAGAAGCAAAAAAGATGTTGGGCTCCATTCTACATGGTACCAGCTGGCATTACTTCAGTTCATTTCAAAAACAATCATTTGTCTCTTCTTAAAGTGTAAGACGTTGTACATTAATATCCAAACAGGCACACGATATTTTTATTGTGTAGTTAAAAACTATCTGCAGCTGTGAAGATAGAAAAAAGTCTTTCTTCTCCATCAGAAAGCTTGTTTACATAAATAGAACATTATACTAATGCTCTATATAAGTTACAAAGCTATTAACTAGAAAGTCTAACAAGTTAATCACCCAATTTTGGAAGCTGATTCAGTACAAGAAACAGGTTTTGTAAGACAAACACTAAAACGCAGCTACTCAAATGGCAAAAGTAAGATGCTAAAGAACATTTGTTGAAAAACATCACTGCACATTATGGCTATTTTGGACTTTACAGTCACATTCTTAATGCACCAATATAATGCACCAACAATACTTCAAAGATATGTAGTCACATTCTCTATTAGCTTGGAAAAGTTGGATCACAACAAAAATTACACTAAACTTGCAAAAAGGGTGAGAGCACCGTTTTTTTTTGCATAGAAAATAAAGAAAAAGTGCTGTGGCAGTTGTAAGAAAGAGTCATATTTACATTTCTAATCCAGAGACAACACAGCTTCTCCCTTATCACAAGTTACCTCAACCTAACTTAGCAAAATATTCCTCCTAGCAGTATCACCTTCTGCATTTCTATACATAAAGGACCACATAGATAAGCAATGTTTAAATATTGCACTGTCAGGCAGTATCTAAATGTTACTTCAGGCAAATATCAGGTAGAGTAACAAACAGAATAAGCACTTTGTCTTGTTATATGAGCAAAGAACTGACTTGTAATAATGAGAGATCTCAAGCAAAGCACTGGGTCACGATTGCTAGTCAGACACTTGACATGCAAAAAGGTAAGAGACAAAACAATAGACTCACATGCATGCATTAGTCAAAAACATACTACCACAGTAGCCAAGTACCCAGGTCAGAATAGTTTCACTCAGCAGTTCCAGATTCAAATTCATAACACCTGATTAGTTACAGCACCTCTTTGAGAAAGACATCTGCTACTCACTCAGAGGACACAGGGCTTCCCAGTGAACCTCATTATCTTTCAAAAAGTGGTTTTCAGTAATTTAAGCAGCTTTTAATTCAGAATAACTCACTGATGCTCAGGAAACTAATTCTGACTGCATATTCTCTTGAAAAAGACCTAGAAATTTTTGTGAATAGAAATTGGAAGGCCTCTCTCTCTCTTGGCAGAGAGAAACTAGCACCAGGTGCCCTGCATAACCACTGAAAACAAATACAAGATGAAGTCCTTGAACTCCACCAGATCTTGAAACACCATCTGCCACTTAATCAGTTGCCACTCCTCCCTTGCCATCCAAGCAGACACATGCACTAACAAGTTTGCATAATTTCATCTTCAAGTGTAGTCTGCACTGACAGCTGAGACCAACAGGGTAGCTACCATGAACCTTCCAGAAAAACCTGTTATTCTGCATGACTATTTATGTTACAGCCACAACACATGAGTTTTAATCATTACTTACCTCAGCGTGGCTAAACAACAAAATCTACATATGAGCTTCAATACCACAATTTTTTCCCTCCTGTTGTTAGTGTTAAACCTTCTTATGCTTCACTGGAAACAGAGAATGACAGAACAGACTGCACATTCTAAAAATTGGGTAATTAGAAGACATTAAATAGACAAAACAAGACTTCACCTACTATCAGTTGAAATCAGAATCTGTGATGGTTCACAGAATTTGTTGCAAAACTATTCTTCCAAGAAAAGAAATAATATACTAACATAATGTGTAAAACAAAATTAAGTTCCACTTCAGAGTATGTAAAAATACTTTCAGAGAACTCACCAGAACCAGAAGTCAATAAACTTTGATGTCTGTTTTTTCCAGAAGTACCTATGATGTTCAGAATAGAAAGCAGAATTATGCTTCAAGTCAGAAAAAGAGAGAGTTGCACTTTTGAACCTCTTTCTATATAACTTCCTCATGATCTAGATAGTTTTAGTTTCATCCTTGTGATGACTGATTGCATGTTTGACAGAAAGATTTGATATGATAAAAAGTTAAGTTATTTGGAAAATGAATTCCTATCATGTCAAACTTAGATTATCACACTTCACATAAGCCAGATAGCACTGTTTATTTATCTTATTATCTTAAATGAAAGAACAAAATGAACAGATAATGCAATAAAAAAGGCAACAATAAGTAACTACCCATACTAATCCTATCTTATCAAATAAAGCATCATAATTTTTTTTCCAGCTATATACTCCAGTTAGTTTATTTACATAAAGCAGGTACAAAATGTGCTATCTAATAAAGTGAAATATAAACAAAAACAGTGAGAAGGTTAATCTACCATTACTGTACTGTTTTCGTGTTAGGTAAAAAATGAACTAAGAACCTCATTATTTTGAAGGATATCAATTTAAGGAAAACACTTTTTGCTAGGTTTAAGCACAAAAGTTACAAGCAGAAGTTTACAGAAGGTCTTTTCGTAACACCTATCACATTCAGCTTTCTTCTTCCCTATAGTAGGCACATCAATATGATTTGTATCACAACTGTACTTGTTTCCCTCAACCTGAATCCTGCAAGAGAGTCTTTGCACCCAAGTGAAATTTTTTAATTAATTAATTCATCTAAGGAGTCAGATATATATTCTTTATTTCAATCTGATTTAAAAAATGATTAATTCAATTAAATACTGAAGATATATCTTCAGCAAATATCTGATACTGAAATGCAAAGTTAAGTACATACGACTTTAAATAGTCACAGATGATGAGCAAGATCTCACAAGAATATTGCTGAAATTAAACAGAGAAATTTGGGAATGCCAGTTTGAGTTTTATCTTTTAACTGCATGATCTTATAAGCAGGCTACAGAACATAATTCAACTTGATGTTACCAAGTGCTTCAAGTCTGCACAGGATACAAGTTCAAAGCAGGCAGTGTACTTGAAATAGGGTGTTAGCTCCATATAAAAAAACATATACAGAATATCTCATAGAGCCAATCTCCAATACCATGAACCATTGAAAGAATGGACTGACCATTTCAAATGCTCTAATTGTTATAGAGCATAGCTCTTTCTCAAGATGGATAGATACAAGAATGTAATTGAAAATATAACTTTACCCAATAACTGACTGCCTCTAGCCTCACTGACTTTCCTTGCTGAGTGCAATGGCCCAGATGATTTTGGTGTGCATTGGTTCAAGGAAGCACACCTGGCTTTGGCTCCTAGAAGAAGAGACTTAAATCAGGTTTAAAAGTACAGCTATTTCAGCAAATAAAGACATGTCTGACATCACATATTTACAGTACCAGATGCGTAAGTCTACTCAAACAAATATAAGAAGAGGCATTTTCTAGAAAATTTAAGGCTACATTTAAACTCAGCTTTGTTTTTACCAGAACTCACTACTAAAGCAATAAAATATAATTTTAATAAAGCTTATTAGGAGAAGAAAAGATAAGGAAAAACATCACCTCAACACTAAGACAGTAGTACTAAAGTCACTTAAGCAGTGGCAAACAAAACAGCTACAGGAAAGTTGGCTGAAAGGGACCTCCAGAGGCCAACTCATCAGCATCCCACCAGAGCAGAGCCACCACCAAGATGAACTTAACTGGCCATGACTGGCTGAGTCCTGAAAACTTCCAAGAATGGAAATCCTACGGCTCTAGTGGACAATGTGGTCCTGTACCACTTTTCCTCATAATTCTTCCCAAAATGTTGGGTCTCCCACTCCTGTGAGACTATTGCCCACTATTGCTACGTTATCTGGTACTACTGAGTTTAGTGTCATCATCTTTGTTCAAGTAATTGCAGATTGTTACAATACCTCCCCTTATTCTTCCTTTCACCTGACCAAGCAAGCTTCACTCCCTCAACCTCTCATCACAAGTGATGTGCTCCAAACACTGTCTTCCCCAGTCTGCTGTTTCCAAATAACTTTCTTGAAATAGGCAGGCCCCATAGCAGAGCAGCCCAGATGGAGCTTCACAAACACCAAGGGGAGAGAACACCAACTTCTGGCCTTAACGCTCCTGGAGGTGCTGAATGCACATTTCCAGCACCCAAATCACTGAAGCTGTTGAACAATGAATAACTGCACTGAATATCCTGGGCCTGACAAAAAAAAGCATCAACTTGTCAGGCAGTCATACAATTTTTGTTTGTTTCAGTGATTTACAGTTTCTGGCAATGTCTGCCTCTTATCACTGTTTACTATTTTAAAGCATGTCATTATAGCATGACATTTGGCAGGCTTAAAACTTAAGCCTAAAGCAGAAGCATTGTATTTAATTAGGTTTATCCAATTACAATAACCAGTTCACCACAAAGATGGTCAGAAGCAAGCTGATTATAACTAGGATTTACAGGACAGAGCGCACAAGCTTATTTATCTGCTCCCATTATGCCTTTAATTTTGGTCAGAGAATGAGTTGTCAGCTGCTGTTTGTGGCTTGAGTGGAAAAGCACTGACGGCTTATAGAGAAGTCCTGGCTCAAACAGGAACAGGAACCAAAACTCTAATATAAAGTCAGAAACTGCATTTAACTAAATTTCCTTTATCACCAAGGGATGAAGCACAATTATCTGTCTCCATTAAAAACAAAGCAGACCTCCACTTCCTCTTAGTAATCTAGGAGAATATCAAGAAAATGAAGCATGGAGAGGTAAGCTGTTAGCTCAACTCTTTCCTTTGAATGATAAGACAATGCCATTCATTCAAGAAGAGGCTTCATCCAGTAACATTTCATTCAAAGAGTCACATCCATTCTGTAAGGTCCTTTTCGTTCTGATAGGAGCAAATGTAATTTCAAGTCTGCATGAGGAAAAGCACAACCATATCCAGAGGATAAATTCAAAGTAGATCTACCCTACCGATCAGCAGCTGCAGAGTCTGAGCTTTGTGACAAAAAAGAAAGACACTAGAGTAATGTAAAACTTGAATAATGACACCCACAACATAATGCATTTGTCCCAGTACCATGCACAGCCATACTGCTCTTGTAGAATCATAGAATCATAGAATCACCAAGGTTGGAAAAGACCTAAAAGACCATCCAGTCCAACCGTTCACCTATTCCCAATAGCTCCTACTAAACCATGTCCCTCAACACAACATCCAGCCTTTCCTTGAACACCCCCAGGCTCGGTGACTCCACCACCTCCCTGGGCAGTCCATTCCAGTGCCTGACCACCCTTTCTGAAAAGTAATACTTCCTCATGTCCAGCCTGAATCTCCCCTGCCGTAGCTTGAAACCATTCCCTCTGGTCCTATCACTAATGACACGAGAGAAGAGGCCGACCCCTAGCTCACTACAACCTCCCTTCAGGAAGTTATAGAGAGCAATGAGGTCTCCCCTGAGCCTCCTCTTCTCCAGGCTGAACATTCCCAGCTCCTTCAGCCTCTCCTCATATGGCCTGTGTTCCAGACCCCCCACCAGCTTTGTTGCCCTCCTTTGAACACGTTCCAGGGGCCTCAATGTCTTTCTTGCAGTGAGGGGCACAAAACTCAAGGTACTCAAGGTGCGGCCTCACTACTGCTGAGTACAGGAAGTTCACATCACAGTGCAGACTGCCTCCTCATTTGCCTGAAATAACCAATCAATAAAAATTCAAAGAATGTTTTAGCTTTCTTATGAAATCTTATTGATGTGATTCTACTTCCTTGCAGTACACTACTGCTAAATATTCATTGCTTCACATGGCAGCCAGGTGCAAAAGGTAAGGCACTGCAACAGTGGTAGCTTTAGTTTCACTGTAGCTACAGATTCAGGTACCTTTTGGAGTTGCTTTCAATGAGAGTAATCTAGGTCTTGGTATTGCTTTCAAAGAAACAGATCCAGAAGTTCCATTCTGGCAGGCTTTTGAAGGCCATTCTCCATTCTTGATGATGACTGTGGCACTTGTAGCTACAAGAGAGAACAACAGAATTTGGTCAAGAAAGTAGCTAGCTTGGAGAAAATTAAATCCTAAAGTAAACCCATTTCCTTATTCAAGTTAGAAGAAATAAAAATTGGAATAAAAATATTATGAACTTTTTTGTTATTTTCTGTACAGACTGATTAACTGTAACAGATTAGTCCCTGGATGTTCCAAACACACTGGACATACAGCTTTGAACTTTGCACAGGAGGTGGGTATATGCAAGAGAATACTGATAACAATACATAAACAAAAGCCTTACCATGTCATACAAAGCAAACATAGAAGACATTTCAGTTTGACTAAATCAAGAAAGATCAGTCTGAAGTCATCCTGGACACAGAATTGATTGGTTTGTGTGTTTGTTTTTTAACAAAATAAAAAAAAAAAAAGGGAACTGCCTCAAGCAGCATCTTTTCCTTTTCCTTCTCATTTGAATAGAGAGATACATGCTGCCAAATAAGTTTTAAGAAAAGTTTCTGCAGTACACATTCATAAAAGCGATTTCCTAATGGCAGAGATTCTTAGGTGTTGACCATCCAACACATACTTCTCTCACTAGAGGAGAGCTGAAGCCATACAGGGGAAAAAACAAAACAAAACAGAAAAAAGAGCAGATAGACTCAATTTAGGAAAAACAGGACATTTTCTGTCTCATGTAAAAAAATCAGATTTCCAACAGAGCAGTTGCTGCACAAGATGTTTATCTCCATTTCAGTGGGTCTCAAGAGAGATTTGGTTTAATGCCACAACAGAAAGTTTTAGCTGAAGAAAGATAATTGAAATGTGGGGAGAGACAATGTCTTGTTCTAGTTTTGCACCAAAAAATATGGAAAGATTTCTGAAGTAAATACTGATTGAAAATACTTTGGCTCAGATAGCAAAAAGTTATGGTGATAGTCAGCATTCTGACACATTAAGAGTAAGAAGTTGACATCACACTTACCAGAGCATAAGCAAAAACTAAATTACTCTGGAATAGGTCCATGCTGTTAGTTTTTTGTTTTTGTGTTTGTTTCTTTTTCTTCAACTACTCATTAGCAAAAACAGGGGGAAGAGATTAATAAAAGGAGACAGATCAAGTTTGCCTCAGATTAGTGTTTTATGAGGCTGATTCTAAGGTAGCAAGAAGTACACATCTACTAGTATTCATCAAAAGATCAAATGCAGCCTTAAGATTATTTTCATGTCAATTTAAATACACTAGCATCATTCATCCAAAAGTTCTCTTTCAGAAAAATGCTTCTTGACCAGGAATCAGTACAACAACATTTACAACAGAAAGGAACAGAACTCCTTTTTCTTTCCCTTTTAGGTACATGTGACAAAAGTTTTCTATTTTTTTGTTTTTAAAATAAAGGAGATAGATTTCCTCTGAAAGTACAAAAACTAAACATCTGCAACAGAAATTCATACATGAGAAACAATTTGCGTAATACATCAACACTGCAGTTGGTAGAATTTGACCTGTCCAACAGCAGATGACTTAAGTTAACTTGTTCTAATGAAGTATGAGCTCTGAAGCAGTCCATTTTTTTCTGGGAGCTACTAGATTAAGAACTTTAGCTCAAAGTTCACTGCAGGCAGCTACTGCCTGCCCATAAACTGCTGTGCTACTTTCCAATAATTCACAAGCACACCATGGAAGCAACACTATGGGGATAAGAGCACTCCTGGTGCAGGATCAGTAAGACAGACTTGCCTTTTTCTATGAGTAGATACTGCAGTCTTGATGAGCTACCACCAAGTTTTAAAACAGTCCCATCAAATCTAAGAGCTAAACGTTTCTACACAACTTGATAAGTGCTGTTTTTTCAGTCAAGTATCGACCATATACAAATGTATCTCAAGGTAAATTGCTAGAACAAACTTTTAACCTCTAAAACACAACTTCTTTTTATGCAGTTATTTTAATGCAAGTCAAGTTTCTTCTCTTAACCTAAGAGTTTGAATATTTCAGTATGTTCAATCCTACTATTTTCAGCTCATTACTGAAATTGTGGAAGTTTGTTAAAAATTCATGTTTTTGATGCTCAATCTGACATGTATGCAAAGTATGTATTTAATATCAACAGCATTTCAAATTTCATGATTTCCAAATTTCTCAGCAAGAATCTCTCCAGAGAAAAGAATTATAAAAATCAAATGACAATTAGACAGAAGAGTAATGCTGATGAAATGATCAGTCCAACAATATCTCATAACAAAGGGCTGAGCTGGCACAGCAGGAGGGACACTTTGTTTTGTAAGTTTTTTTCCCCGCTAACAAGATGAACTGCTTAAACAAAACAAGCAAAATGACTTTGTAAATTTAATGCAGTTGAGAGGACAACAGTAGTTCATTACAGATTTCCTGACATTCACAGCACAAGACTATATTCCTGATTTTGTCAGGACACACAAATCTAATAAAAGCACTTAAATAAAGACTTTTTCCTGACATTACTGCATGGAAAACTAAATGAAAGACAAGGAGAAAAAAGGAAGGAGAAAAGCACTGAACATAAAATAGAGGAAAAAAGTAAACTTACTTTTTCTCTACAATTTGAAGTCATATATTACACTATATTAATGTATCATCATATATAACCCAAATCCATTACACACAAAAACAGATTATCAGACTGAAATAATTCTTATAAAGTTCAGCAATTTAACCAATGAAAATCACCTCACTGAAAAATCAGCAAATCAAAACATTTCATACATTCACCATAATCAAGTTACGAGCTTTAAAAAAAGAAATAAAAAGAAATACAACCTACTTCTTTTCCCAGTAAACAAGGTTAACAAAGGAATAATACAAAAGCTGTAAGATCCCACTATCAGCAGTGTCAATAAGGTAATATCACAGTGGCTTCCCAAATCAGTTGGTGGTGTTAGTGTAGAATTGATGAAAATATCAGGAGAAAAATTAGTTTCTGTGCAACTGCGGAGTCCTCCTGGTATAGTCATTTAAAAAGGATTGAAGTCAAAGCCAGACTGCAGCCATGTTCAACCTCTCATTTTCCTCTTGCTTGCTCTTTGTGAATCGGAGTGGAAAAAACTGTAAGCTTTGAGGCAGTGGGCAAAACAGATTAAAGCAGCTAGCAAATCATTCTAAATAAGGAGTCCTCATTTGGATACTTAATCTGCATACATTTCTTTGTTATGAAGCAATGACCCTCTCCTTTGTTATATGTGGATTAAAAGGAAGAGAGGACAAAGCTGCTTGGGAATTCCTGATACAGTTCTAAAACTGAACAGCAAAAGTCAACATGGCTGTCAGGGCAACAGAACCAGCCTGATTACAGAGAAGCACGCAGTGCATATTTTATTACGCATACTCTTATTCCTTTGAGGAATATGCTAGTTTTTCATTTTTAATGAAGACACTACAGGAAATAAAAAAAGAACAAGAGAAAATTTAGCTATTATATATGCATGCATGCATGCGCATATATAAAGCCAAGTTGTATGTTAAAACATAGTTGTTTGTTGTTGGTTTTTTTTGTTTTGCTTTTTTTTTTTTTCCAGTCCATTGAAGGCAAATTTCAAAAGAAGGCTGCCACAAAGCAAATGACTTTGCCTGGTCTCACAGATGAAAGAAACAATGCAATTGTAGCAGTACATTTGAATGTACTCATTTGGATATGTACAGTTGGAGATACTGATACATCTGACAGAGTTAGCTGAGTGTTAATTTCTTCACATTTTTACCCCTACAGCTACCACAACAACTAGTTCAAATTCTGGGAAGAGCTTCAAATTTAAGTTAATTCTGCTGGTTTTCTCCTCAGTTTTGACCAGGATGGACTTGCTTCAGGCCATGCAGCAGTGCTTACAGTTATAATAGAAATGATAAATGACATTCAATGTTGCACCTGCTAAAAGCATTTTTGCCTGTCTGCTCATGATCTCATCTTCACATTTTGTCCTAGAACACTAAAAGCTGACATGATCTAGTTCAACACAAGTGTTCAGCGTAAGAAAAAAACCAAACATGCTATTTCAAATATTATGGCAAGAAATTCAGTGTTCACGCTTATTTCTTTTCAAACTTATCAATTTGTACTCAAGAACACCCATTGTTTTCATCATGTTTCTTGACAAAAGAGGAGCTGTACTGAAATCTCTGTTCACCAAATCAAAATCCAAAGCTCGAAGTTCCTTCACATGGTATGTTTGCAGAAGGAAAGTCTTTCGCTAAGAGGCAAAGAGTAAGATCTAAAACTAATAAGATGAGAATTCATGCAGGATTCCTTTTAAGGGGACTCTTCTAAACAGATGTTGCCAGATATCAGTTTAAATTACTTACAATTACTACTGAAAAGACTCTTCTCACTCTGAGTGCTGCTGAGTGATGAGATACTAGGTGTTCTCTCCAGCACTGATCTTTTGACAGGCACTTTGGATTTGGAGAGTACTTTATCAGAGCTAGCCCGGGAAGCTGGAGAATTTTTCACAGCAGCATACTTCTCTCTTGGTGAAGATCCTAGACCTGTCAAATCACACAGGGAAGGATGAAGGGAGGTGGAAAGTGAAAAGAACAAAATTAGAGAAAAACTTAAACACTTCTTCTACATGTATGCCTACAAACAGAAATATTTACACACATTAGAAATACCCATATAAAGGCAATTATCGCATATTTACATGGTAAATAAAATACACATATTTAGTTGTTAAGCTCCTCCCTTGACACAAATGCTGTAAATACAGCAAAACAGTTCTGAGTACCCAAAAATCCTCATTTTACCTTCATACTGACCTGAGGCTTAAGTCAAGAGCTGGTCTTTATAAGATTGGCTTTCAAGGCAGACATTTGCACGCACATAAAAGCTTAACTACTTGCATTCCACTACCTCTGTGTATTATGGTAAGCTGTACTGGCAATCCCATGAAAATATTACCCTTAGCTCAACCTAAGACAGATTCTTTTGTTTCTTCCTACCCCCAAACACATACTGTTCTTTGTTTGTTTGTTTGTTTTTCTTTTTTTTCCCCTGTTTCACAGAATAGTGTATAGATAGGTAATCTGCTTTCGAGGACAAACAACACAAAAGTATCAAACTGTGCTCATTTCACATAAACATACCTTAAAACTGACCAGTCCTACAAAACTAAACAGTACATCTTGGAACCAAGTTCAGTGGTCAACTAGTGCAAACATTTTTGCATTAACTACTGCCCTAATTTGAGCACGCTGAATATAAATGCCCAATAACTAGGTTAACCAAGTTATTTAGAAATGGGAAGTGTGCCATCTTCAGACAGGAGCTTCCTCTCATACTGCTAAAAATGCGGTTGCTTTATTAGCAAGAACATTTCAGATTAGTTAATTAACTTTCAGTTTATTCCTCAAAAGTGTGCATCTAGACCAAAAATACAATAGTCTAGGAAAAGTTATGTATACACAGACTTGTCTTGCACATACTGAGCTGACTAATAATCAGCTCTGAAATAAAATTTAGATGTCAAGATCTTTCTTTATATAGGTCTCCAAATAATGATGGAAAAGACTTCATTATTTTTGTAGGGAAATCAAAACAAATAGAGAGAAGGAAGATAGACTTAGGTATTTTCAAGTACACATATTATCTTAATTCTTGACTTTATTGCCTTTTTAAAGTCTCATAGACCAAGTTTATCTTGCTCAAAAATAGATGATTTTTACTTTGATGAGTTTTTCTATTTGAATATAATAACCCTTCCTTTTATTCTTGCCAACAGTTATGTTTCTATCATGCTGAAGCTATGGAAGAGAGAGCTGAAATATGAGAAAAACAGCTAATAATTCCACCTTATTCAACATCAGTTTTGTAACGGAATCCCCCTTCCTGAATACCAATGATAAGAAACCAACAATTTGCAAAAGTCCATGAAAGAATGACATGAACGAATTACATGAAGATTTAGGCAACAGAAACGTTTGCATTTCAACAGTAGGTGGTGCAAGAGGATTAAATAACATGCCTAAAATCCTCTATCAAGTACACAAAAATCTGGAGAGCTTGAGTAAAGGAAGATAGATCCACGCTACTTCCTGCAGCTTCAATCAGTTCAGTAATAATACAATAGAATACTATAGAAACTCTGCCTACAATATATATTAAAGATGCACTCAAATATGATTTGATACCAGTCACTGAGTATGACACATAAGCTTCCCTTAGTCATTAAACATGCTTAAATGTCAGACCTCCTTTAAGATCTGCACTTTCACTGCTCCACTATGCAGCACTGTGATGTTACATATGGTTTTAATCCAGCCTGGTATTAAATCAGACACAAAATAATCAGCCATATTCTGGAATTTCTTTTATTTTATTGCAATGGACATCTGGATACATCCAATTCAAAGAGCATCCAACCTATTTTGTGCTATGAGAACACTGTGAACCATAAGCTGAGCCACATTCACAGAATTCACTTCAAACAGGCACTGTAGGCAAAAACCTCTAAACTCACTTGTCTGATAAAACAGATAAATGAATAATCAGCACTGATTCTGGATTTCACAGAACAAATCTGTTCTAAACTAACTTTCTAAAACTTTGCATGTAAACAAGCTTATTTCATTAATGGATCAACATACCAGAAAACTAATTAATCCATGCCAGTCAAAAATTCCTTTTCTAAACGGCCTCTCAGCAAAACAAGTAAAAATTAAACTACACAACCAATCCCCCCTAATCACTACATATTTTAAAACAAAACAAAAGGCTGCTGTACAAACACTGCAGGTTAAGTTTGTATGACTTCATATGTTAAAGTTTTCATTTCAAAAGGCAGATTTTGGAACAAATATTGCTGATAAGGTACATTCTGTTGTTTGCTATTGTGCCAGATTTCAAGTTCATCCACTTCAAAAGATACAGGAAAGAAATCCTGCTTTATTCGGTCATTTTCACTCAAGAGGGATGGAGGCAAGTAAGTGAAAATACACATATGTAATTTCCAGCCAGCTTGGTTTCTTCACTGAAACTGGAATGAAGCAGTTCAGTAAATCAGCAGTGGAAAAAAAAAAAAAAAAAAAAAAGCAAAAAGCGCTCTTTCAGTGGGCTCTAGGACATCAAGTTTCAGAGCAATCAAGTTTCAGAGCAGAGTAAAACAGATAATTTTTGATTTTTACTTAGTTCTGCTGCTTGGTGCTTTCCCTCTAAGGCTTCCATTAAAATAATTACAATATACGAATAACATTTTTTTCAAGAGCCCTTCTTGAAGAATTTTAGTCATGACAAGATCATTAAGCAGTAACTCTTGGTCTTATTTCAAGAAATAACAATGATTCTACAAAGTACTTTGAAAAGTACCATTCCCTAACCAGAATTAAAAGAAAAGGTTTTGAAGATGAAGATGGGAATATATGGTATACAAACAATAGTACTGAAAACGTGCAAACAAGCACGATATTTAGTAATCTATTATTATAACGACAACAAGCAATAGCATTAAAGTACCTGGCTTTCATCAGTTATTTGATCTAGTCATTGAAGTAGAAATATCACATTCCTCTACAGTGAAGTAAAAAGCTGGCAGTTCTTCAGAAAAAAAAAATCTATACACAACAACTGTGTTACAGCAAGGATGTTGAAGTATCTCTAGTATTGGTATGGAAATAAGCAAGGAACATGAGTCATTTTTCAAGTAGTTCTGATTTCATGTCCTCACTCAAATAAGTATCTCCTCATGCGAATCCTGCATAGGTGGGTTATTGTTCAGAATAAGTTAAGGCTGGAGCCCAAAAAGCTCCTGTTAGGAAAACAAACATATGCTAGTAGTGGTTAACTTGAAACAGCACTGACCACAGGCAGATTTTAAGGTTAAACATGTATTCATCAGTTTGGAGATTCAGAATCCAAAGTTTCAAACCTTATCAACACCTTTCACATCTAGAACAGAGCACAGAGCAAGTGGAGCTATACAACGCTTGGAAATTAAAAGATCAGAAACCTTTCCTAAACAGAAGCTTAGGGCAGACTTAAGTGCACAACAGGTCTTTGAAAAAATCTTTCTTTTTGTTGTTGCTTTTGTTTTTTTACTGTAACGATCGCTGGTCTGGGGATTTCATCATTATATTTCCTGAGCACATAAAATTTTAGACTTCTTATTCCTTTCTGACTTTTCTTCTGCAAGTGTAAACTTCCAGAGTGTGCTAAGTGTTTCAACTTGTAAAAATAATTTTATGCACGACAAAAAAAGCCAAATCTAAGTGTACAGAACAAGTGTTTTTGTAAAACAAGGAGACTGAAATATTGTAGCTGCCAAACATAAACACAGGCTAAGATAGCAAATGTGAGATTACTGATGACACTTCAGATATTTACATTAGAGAGATTTGTTTAGGAGACAACAACTTATCATTGAACAGTTTAGATAGAAAGCAAGATTTAATTCTCTGTCTGATATAGGTTCCCACAGCATTTCTCTATTCACCTGTGATCATTAGGAATGTGCTCCTCTTTGCACAGATATCAATAAACCGGCAGCACTTCTGTGCCCCAAACAAAACAGGACTGCTAGCAATCATCTGGGTAGATATTCACATGTTCCTCCCTTTGCAGTGGAATATTCTCAGAGTAAAACTGGAAAAGAGATCATCAGTACTATAATGCACTGTGTTACTGCTAACTGTTGACAGAACCAACTCTTTTCATTCTCTCAACCATTTTGCAATTTCAGTACTGTTTACAATCCAGCTATCTGCCTCAATTTTATGTTTTGCTTTTGTAAACTGAACTGGAACAGACCCATGAATAACCACATCTTTATGGCTGCCTGGTTATGTCCTACAACCAAAGGCAAACCCAGTCTTCATACAGCAGCCCATTTTATGCCATCTTCCAGGTGCAACTGCTACAGTGGTAAGACTTGCCCATTCCAACACTGCCAGGAGACTGTTATACACTGTTTGCATCCTATTTTAAATAAGAAGTCCCAACTAGTAGCTTTAACACAGCTATGAGAAAGTTTCATCTATTTAGTCCTAGTGGGCACAGGGAAGAGTCACAATAACATAACATGAAGAAAGCTGAGGCAAAAGAAAATCACCGACTACACCCAATTACATTTGTCACCATTTTCTAGCTCCCTGGATCACATGCCCCTTTCATGTTGCACGCTAAGAATTTGTTGACAGTTCACACTTTTAATATCCATGTTATCACTACATATTTTTTCTTTATTATGTAGGAATTATGTACTTCATGCTTTGCATGAGATGGAACCTCACTGCAGCAAAATATAAATACTTTTTTTTTTTTTTTTTTTTTTTTTGCTCAAGGATTTCTGTTTCTCTCCTCCTGTACCCCACCCAAAGAGAATTCAGAACTAACCAGTACAGGTGAAAAATTATTTGAAGAGCCTCAGCATGTCCTTGCAAGTAAATGACTAGGTACAAAGAAATTCCCCTGCAGGGAACTGGTGGGCACATCACTCCTAAAGGAGAATATACTTCTAGCTACATACACATTTCTGACAGCATTCACATGTGAACTA